CTAGAATTTCAGGAAAATTGAAACATTCATATCCAGAGATCTATTGATACCATGAACCTGAAAGTAGAACCTAAAAACTCGTCTCATACCGGGATTGCAGGTGGTATACTATTTCACACTTATTTAAAACTCCTTCTGGCTAAACCAGGATTTTTCCAGATAGTCTATGCGAACGAAAAGTTCTCAGGCTGGTGCAATATGAGTGATATGAAAGATGTTATTGTATCACAAGACTCCTAGCGTTTATAGCTTCATAATTATTCTCTTTTTCCTTTAATATCATGACCAGATTGTCTTAATATGTCAGATTCTAGAATTTTAGGAAAATTAAAAGAAGGCTGTACGGGGATCTGATAATGCCATGAGCTTGAAAGTTGAACCAAAAGATTTGTATCGTTCAACACTTCCAGTTACTATGTTACATGATCTTTCCTTGGAGCCCCTTTTCTCTTTACCAGGATTTTGCAGATAATCTATGCCGCTTGAAAGCTTTCCAGAGCGTGGGATTTTAACAATAGGAGTGAATAGGTAATACTATTGGAATCGTCTCGTTCTGTGCTTTACAATGATATAAGACACGGCTATATACTATGACAGACCGCGATCTACTAAGAGAATAACTTTTTGCATCTACACAGAGCTCTGTTTATGCCAGATGACTCAAAGTGGTACCAAAAGAGTTGTCACGTCATGAGCGTTAAGGGGATATGCTCGCGATCTTCACTCATGACCATTTGATGCTGTTCCATGTTTTTTTTCCCAATAATGTATGGAAAAAGTGTCGTACTTGTAAGCGAGTTCAATGATACATACCACTCCAGAGGTTTCACACATGATCAAGGTGAAAGTATTAGTCAAACTCATGTCTTAGTGCAAGTACAAGTACTTGCATTGGTCGTAAAAAGCATTATGTTGTCCTACACATGATATATATTTTGATATATTAAGGTTTGGAGTTGTGCATCCATCATAAACCTTGTAAAATGGCATCGCGAAATTGCCAAAAATTGCCTAAATTGGCATCAATAAGCTGAGATACACAAAACCTAACACTTGTAGCACATCTAATTCTGTACCCAAATACTTGTGTGGTGTTCAAATGGTTTGTACCATTGGAATTGTCTGAGTTTCCTGATATTTTTGATATCAAAAATTAATTTTTCTGAGCCGAACTGATCTCGGAAGTAATTATTGAGATATTCCTGCCATAAAGTGCCTAGTTTATGCCATAAAGTACCTAGTTTATGAGATGACCGAGATCCTGGGCTTCTACGCGAAGACGAAGACACGTACGAAGTCAGGTACAAGGGTGCGATCTTCACTATACCGCGTGTCATTCATCCTGACGACATCTTGAGTATCAAAGTGGGCTCTTCAAACATTGTTGTTGACAGCCATGAGGGACAAGTGATAGTTGTTTCTCGCGAGAACCCGCAAGTTTGGATTGAGATGGAAGCCGTCTCTTTCAGCCACGAGCTGGACGACAATCTCGTCATGTTCAAGGAGCTTTCTGGCGGATACATTGCTGTGGAAGTAGGAGGAGATTCGTGGAGGTACTCTGAGACAAAAGCCACTCCTGTAGCGTGCTACAACGGTCTGGTTTGGTGGATCGTCAACGGCAAAACTCTCGTGCCCACGTATGCGGACTTCCACACAGGCAAGGTCTACTACTCCGCAGACTTGGCCTTCACGGGGTTCTACAAGCAAAAGTTCAACACGGACCTTTTCGGCACGAACCCCCTTTTCGACCAGGGCAGCAAGTCGTGCAAATGTCGGCAGTTTTTAGTGGATGCGGCTCCTCGAGAAGGGGAACCTCTCGCAGTCTACGATCTGGCCACAGGTGTTATTACTGTCGTTGCTTTTCCCGCAGGATGTTCGCCTGGGCTGATTAAACTGGGTTTTGTTGATGGAAAGTTCCAGCCACACTGCTTGTCTAGCGAGACTTGTGCGCGTTACGATAAGGTGTTGGAAGAGGTGGCAAAAGAAGGTAGGGTCGTGGAGCCGTGGCAGGGTAGATTGCATTAATTAATTTTATTCTTGGTTTTGCAAATTCTCGTTTACTCGTAAAGATATGTTTGTGCACAGATGCTGAGAGAAACACGCATTCAACTATGAAGCTACAGTATTCAGCCATGTCGGTTCTTATCTCCCTGGTACTATAATTATGTCGTTGAGCAGTTTCAACGTCCTGGTACTATGTGAGCAGCTCATACTCCGTACGTACAACAAGACCAACCTGGAGCTCAACTTTTGATACCAATAAAGTGTAAGAGCACATTCAAGGTAGTACCGGTTTGTTCTCGATTTTCAATTCACGGTACTTCCTGTTCATGTGGTTCATTGTCTTCAGTTACTGTACCACCTCATGACTTTGAGCTACAAAATTATTATACCTAGTCCTCATCTGTGCTACAACAAATCTTTAAATACATACATAAATACTCTGGTCTGTATCTCGAGCTCGCTACTCAGCTCACTTACAGGAGATACACAAAGTCGCCTCTCTTTCTTCCCATGAACAAGACCAGCAACCCCGTCAAAACAAAGCCAGCAATCATGAAAGCCATGTTGATCCAGGCACCAGTCATGAACTGAGGCGCATCCGTAGCCTTGAAAGTTCTCATCACAATAACTCCGTACCACTGCGTCACAAACGCAAAGATGGTGAAGCTCATGAGTCTCTTTCGTCTTCCCTGGACGTTGCTTCCCAGCAAGCAAGCCAGGGTAGGCATAGCTGCGACCATGTTGGGCAAAATGAGCCAGGCGGCTCCATACTTGATCCAGAAGTTTTTGTGGCTCGGTTTGCAGATCACAAGAGCCCATCCGACGATTGCCAAAATGAAGTTGGTGAGCAGGAAAGGATAGGTGATTCGGAGTTTGGACGAGTACCAGTTTTGAAGCAGGCAGTAGAAGCAGCTGAAGACCAGGATGGGCCAAACAATGCACTGGCCGAGAGCAGGCGAGTACTTGAGCACGTGCATGCTTACCGTCATAAGTTCTCCGTAGCAGGAGTTGATGCCAGTGTAGGTGAAGAGTCCAAGACAGCCTACTATCCACACAATGGGGTCTGCGAGAGCCATCAGGAAGGCTTCGTTGGTCGACTCGAACGGCTCAATGGGGTTTCCGCCGTCGTAGTGTTCTTCGGTGATACGTTTGAACAGCTGGAAGCCCTCTTCTCCGTGCTTCTTGATCCATCTGGGGTGGTAAAAGTAGTCAGGGAGGAGTCTCCAGACCAGAGGAGCCTGCAGACAGCCACAAATACCAGTGATGAAAAACATCCACGCCCATCCTGGTTTTCCATCTGTAATCAAACCCAGAGCAATAGCGATCAAGGCAAAAAGAGGAACCATGAACCACGATACTCCCCAGGAGCAGGCAATGATGAACTGTGCTTCAAATCGTCCATGCGACTCGTACGTCACTTGAAGAATAACAGGCAGCGCAAAACTCATCACTGCTCCCATAATCACTCTGTCTGCTGTTAAGCCTGCAAAAGTTGTCGAGACTCCAAGTAAGGTACAGCACAGACCCCAGATGAACATCTGGACTCCGGCAAAGACTCTCGGGTTGCTCTTTGCAAACAGAAAGGCCATGGGGATGGTGAAAACAGCGTAGGTGAAGTACAGAGCAGCCTGAGACCACTCGTACTCTGTAGGAGTGAGATGCAGAAACTGTTCAATTTTTCCAGTTACCGTCACGCTGATAACGTCTCTGGAGACAATGTGGGAGGCCAGAAATACCTGGAACTGGCAGCCAACAGCAATGCTTCTGTGGAGCTTGAGATGGCGTTCTTTCTTGGGCGAGATCTCCACGTGGGACACTTGTCCAGAAGCGATACTTTGCTGCGCATAGAGACCAGACTTGGCTTCGATTGAGTGCTTCTCGACATCCTCGAGGTGTTCGACTGAGTGTTTGTCTTCAACGTGTTCGACTGAGGCTTTGTCTTCGAGATGCTCAACCGACGGTTTGTCAGCGAGATTGATGGAGTGTTCTGGCATGGTTCAAGTGTTTTCGAGATAGCACGAGTTCTCGTCCATGCTATATAGCAGCATTAGGTTGGCTGTGGGGAAGCTGCGGGAGTATCTAGACTGTGGGGTGCATTTGAGAGTTCATGAGGAGAGTCGGATCTTGGACATACAAAGGAGGGTTGACTTGAACAGAAGACGTTGAAGTGGAGCACATAAAAAGAAAAACGAAAGTGATATGACCAAACACAGCACATCTACGGACTTGAGAAAACCGTTGATCGCCAAAGACCCACCCAAATCTACTCTTGCTCATGGTTACAGTTGGAAATAAACACTGTAGCCGCGTGCGGTAGAGGCAAAAGACTCGGCCGAGAAGACAATGAGCACGCCAAGGGTATAGAAAGAAACTCAAGGCTTGAGTCAGTCTTGGCGCGGATGTCTTTTTTCCGGACCTTGACCCCCACTGTCTAACTTTGATACACCTGAGCGTGTCTTAGAGGCGTTACATTGACGTGCATGGAGTTGAGAGCAACAAAAAGTTGAGAACTAGTGCTCAAACTGAATATCATCAAGATAATCAAGAACTTCGTCTTCTAAAAACTTGCAGAAAAAAAAATCACTTCTTTTCTTCTGTTCGTATTCGCTTGCTAACTTCCCCTCGATAACCCTGTCCCCCACTAACTTCGTACCCCACACAACTGCAACGATGGAACCTCAGATTGAACATTAATCGACTTTGGCCTCGCGACTTGTTGAGATAGCGGGGGTGTTTAATGAGAATATCGTTCTTTGCGATGTTGATATTTCTCTTTGAGGCGTTCTCTTTAGAAGTCGTCTTTGAGATATCTCTTCACCACTTACACAAACAGTAGCTCATCGATGTGGTCTAAAATACACAGCTCAAAGCCGTTCAGAGCTTCTAAAATTCCACCAGCTCTAGATCCACTGGCTGCTAAACTCTCAGCCCCACAGCCAGGGTAGAGCTCTAAACTGTCCAAAAAAAGAAAACTTTCTGGCTCCGTTTTAAAAAACGGGCCGAGCAGGGATTTGAACCCTGGACCTCTCACACCCAAAGCGAGAATCATAGCTACTAGACCACACGGCCGAAAATCTTAAAATCACGTGAAAATCTGCCGCCAAGAGACTAAAAAAGTGATTTTGAAATTTTGCGATTTTGGCGCTGTTCCGGGCCTTTTTTGGGAATTTCGACCGTTTGGGGGGACTTTGGGGGGCTCGAAGCACCTTGGGAGGTGTTTTTTGGGGAGGTTCGGTGCATATTTGAGAAATCCGGAACTCTTGAATTCTCGCATTTTGGAGAAAATTTTGTAACTGCTCGGGAAGCTCTACTGTGTGTGATTGAGGTAGTAAATGTAATCAGGTGTGTTATTCAAGCCCAGGAAAAGCTACTGATGGTGTTTTTGTCGCTTTTTGGGCACTATTTTCGCTCTTCCGAGTACTTTTTCTCGAAGCAGTTTTTCGGACAATCGAAAGGGGTTGTTAAAAGTGCACCAGAAGACAGGAGAACAGTTTCGGGGTGTTCGAGATGGTTATCCCAGCTAATAATCAGCTCTTTTCCAAAGAACTTATCTCAATTGCGCCAGTTCGTGTCAACACTCTAGAGAGACATTCAAACCATGATCTGGTTAGAAGTTCTTAAGGCGAAGGTAAAGCTGGATTGGATCCACGATGTGGTACAAGTATTAGATGAGGAAGAATCTAGTCAGCTTTTGTTTTTTTAAAACCAATCCTTTGATCTTGTTATAGTCATATTTCCTATATCTACTTTTAAGAGCTGCCGAGTCATAATGATGCAACAGTCTGATTGACCCCGGAAATATGCTCACACTTTCGTCACTCTAATTAGGTTTGAAAGTTGCTCTCGGAGACCAGTCTAAAAACCAAGTAAATGTCAACTAAAGCCCAAGTAAATTAGTCAAGGTGCGATATTACAAAACCTCCGGGAAAAGCCAGAAATGATCTCAATTAGCCCACCACAGTCTCCCCCTTTGTTCTCCCGCTCTTCCGCCCATCCTCTCCTCCTCCCTCCACACCGCAACCCAGTTGCTTATCTGGGTGAGTGCATAAACAGTGTTGTGGGGTCCAAGACAGAGGTCACTCCAGATAACCAAATAAATAAATAAAAACATACCCCACCCCAACCAGCCAGTCTCTATTTAATCGTGATTTTTATTAAATTTTCCCATTTTTACTCAGGTTGTTTCCTGGTCACTGTCCCAATAAAGTTCTGACTAACGTCCACCTCTCGATATTAACGCACCTCCACGTCGACACTCATCCACCACCACCATGCTTATGCTCCAGTACCAGAACCTGCTGCTGCAGTCCGTGCTCTCCGAGCGCCTCGATCCCGAAACACCGCCATTGGGCATCGACCAGGTCGTTTCCGACTTTGACAACGTCACCTTCCACATCTCCAATCCCGACCCCAAGGACAAGTCCGTCATCATGGTGTCCATGTACATCAAGTGCTTTGCGGACCTGGTCAAGTGCGGCGCCAAGAATATTCTCGAGCGCGAGTACGGCCCGTACCTCACCGAGCCCGAGCCTGGATACGACGTTTCGCTGCTGCTCAACCTCACAGACGGCTCTATTCCCTCTGACCCCGAGCAGCGAGACGAGCTTGTCAACAAGATTGCGCTGCTGAAGCGAAACACGTTTGCCGCGCCGTTTGAAAAGGCCTTCGACAAGTTCGACCAGCTCGCCGAGGAGGCTGCAGCCGAGGGCAAGGACCTGTACGCGCCCCAGAAGTCCGACAACGAGGTCATGGCGATCCACTACCGCGACGAGGAGTCCATCTACGTGCGGCCGTCGTACGACCGGGTGACTGTCATCTTCTCGACCATCTTCAAGGACGAGACGGACCGCATCTTCGGCAAGGTGTTTCTGCAGGAGTTTGTCGATGCTCGTCGACGAGCGATCCAGAACGCCCCGCAGGTGCTCTACACGCAAAAGGAGCCGCCGCTGGAGATCCGGGACGTGGTCAAGCCCTCTGCCAACGCCGACAACATTGGCTACGTGACGTTTGTGCTCTTCCCCCGACACCTGGTGGCATCCCGACGAGAAAACTGCATCTCGCACATCCAGATCTTCCGAGACTACTTCCACTACCACATCAAGTGCTCCAAGGCGTACATGCACTCGCGAATGCGGTTCCGGGTGTCCGAGTTCCTCAAGGTGCTGAACCGAGCCAAGCAGGAGAACGTGGTCAAGGAGAAGAAGACCGCCAGCGGCCGAACCTTCAAGCACCCCAACTAGCCCACCGCTATGCATCGGTCGCAGACCATTGTAATGAATATGATATGAATAACAGCTGTTGGACTGTAGAGATATGAGAGTTACGAAGCGACTAGTTATGAGGTCTATGACTTTAGGACCTGAGCTGGAGCTGTAACAGCTTCAATGTCAGCATACGTGAATGGCCTGGTATGCTCAAGTCGAATACTTCATGTGTACATATAGCTATGATGTACATACTGAGTGGATACAACCGATACCAACCACGTCTGGCAATCATTAATAGTAAAAAGTAATTCACCGAATCCCTACTTGATGCTGATTTCTACAGTACTAAACCTGTACTTTATGCTGGGCTTCTATTTCATGCCCAACCAGATACAAGTACTCTATGCTGATTCCTGCTTCATGCTGACCCCTACATTATGCCGACCTCTACTTTATGCTAAACCAGCTAGCTACTCCGTACTCTATGCTGACTCCTACTTTATGCTAAACCTCTACTTTATGCCACAGATAGTCTATGCTGAAATCCTTATGCTTATTATGATGCTCCAAGGTGACTGTCCAGGTCGATACTGGATCCGCCGATCTCTGGGTCTTCTTCAAGGACTCCACTCTGTGACAGAAGTACGGATCTTCCGACTCCAGCACCTCTAAGAACTCCAAAAACACGGCGAGTAACACGCTGAGTGATTCGAACTTCTCTACATCGAATACAAACACTATAAGTTGCTGCTGAAGCGAACTTCCTCTGAAAACCAGGTTTCGTAAACAGTTAAGAGTTAGAAGCTATAAAATCAATGAGCCACAGCCAGAGTGGTGTGCGTAGCAGCATCGCCAGGCAGAGGCTTACCAGCAAGCCAGTCGGAGTACTTGACAGTGCCGGGAATGTCGCCGTCAATCTCGACAACGTCCGTCTCGTCGGTGTACTTTGCTCGCGCAATGTGGGTCTGCTTACGGTCGTTGTCGAAGATGACAAGAGCCCGCGAGATGACGTGGGGGCCAGAGAGCAGCGTTCCGTCGCTGTCTTTAGAGACTGTCAGGCCCTGGATCGCGCAGGTGTGGTCCACGCCCTTGAGCGGCTTGACAAACTGGTCCATGTCCACGGGGATGGAGGTGTAGCCAAAGCCGTACTCAATCACCGGTTTGGCGTCGCAGTCGATCGTCCATAGCTTGTGTTCGGCGTTGTACGCTCCGCCGTGCTTCTTGGCCACAGCAGCCACAGTCGCGTTGGGCAGCGTGATGGTGATGCCTCCGGTGTCCAGGACGACCTGGTAGTCCCGGGGCAGCTTCACGGGCTCGTTGTCGACCGTGAAGCCGGACATGTTCATGGCATAGCCTCCGTAGCTGGCTCTGTCGATCGTCACGAGAGGTCCCTCGTACTTGGCTCGGTCAAAGCCGCCGTAGTAGAGGTTTGTGACAATGTGCTTCTGCTCGTTGGCGGGGTGGTCTCGGTTCCACTCGGTGACGGGAGCCTCGGCAGAGAGCGAGTAGACTGCTCGCGAGATCTTCTTGGCGTCAGCGAGGCCCTGCACAAACGACAGCGAGCCGTTCTTGTCGGGCGAATGGCCAAACCAGCCGTAGTTGTTGGACATGTGGTCCGTGGTGACGTAGAGCACAAAGTCCTTGAGCGTCTGGCCCGCGAAGGAGAGGGTTTCTCGGCCGTTGAGGCCATGGCCGCCCCAGTTGGCTCCCATTTCGCGGAATCGCCACGACGACGAGTTGGCGATCTCGAACGAGCCGCCCGTGTGGCACTGGTGCTTCTCGCAGGCCGTGGAGTTCGTTCCAGGAACCCACAGGTGTCCGGATCCTGTATCAACAGCAAGGCTGACCTTCTGGGGAGGAGTGCCCAGCTCGACAGTAGCGTCGTACCAGGGCTTTCCGGCAATCAGCTCCGCATGGTCGTACCGCTTGGAGAACGCTTCTTGGATCTCGGGGTGGTCAGCAGTGTTGCGGACCGTCAGAGGAAGATGGACAACGCCAGCAGCAGCCACAGAGGCCAGGAGGATGTTGGAGAAGATCATTGGGTGAGTGAGGAGCGGTGGTGGCCGGGGAGGGCTTATAACTGGAGCATCTGGCTCGGATCAAGCTCAGGATCAAGCTCAGAGTTCTGTGAAGGGTGGGCATCGTAGTATCGTGGTGGTATCATATTGACAGGAATCTTTGTGGGTATAGTGGTGGGTATAGTAGTGGTCATTATGTGGTGGTTATTGCTGGTTGATTTGTTGTAGATGCCGATTTGTTGTAGATGCCGATTTGTTGCTTGACTGATTGTCTGAGTGCAATATCCTGAATATCACAGTCCAAGAGTGCACTGCAAGAGTCAATGTAACATTGGAAGGAAGATCGAGCATAACGTTAACTGCTCCGTAATGTGGGTTCAGACCGGGTGACTTGAGAGAAAAAAAAACAAATCTCGATACACAAATGTGCTCAAAATTTACCAACGACGTCAATTGAGCAATTGAGTATTCCTACCTACCGGTATTATACTCTCTTTGTATCAACGTAGGACACATCTCCTCCATCAGACCCCTGCAGATGGAGTAAACGGCATCTGTCGATCAGCTTTATCTTCAACAGTGTTTGCCGGAGGCTGTTGTAGTTTGCTGTGGGTCGTACTTTCTGACGTCAGTGTTCTGATTTCTACTCTATGCTGATTTCTACATTATGCTGATTCCTACCGGTTCCAGTACAGGTACTTTATGCTGATTCCTATGCGAATTCCTACTTTGTGCGAATCCCTACTTTATGCGAATCCCGATAATCTATGATGATCTCATAATCTATGCTGAACTCATAATCTATGCTAGGCTTTCCTGACAGTATAAGAAGATGGATAGAGAG